TCTTGGGATCGGAAGCTGTCTCCCACCGTGTATTCTCTTCTGTTATTTAAGCTGTGTGAACAAACCCCCTTAAGAAACATTCCTCTGGGCACCTCCTTTGTACCGGGCACTGGGCAAGGCATAGGAGCATATGGTAATAATACTACAACAATACTTTGAATTATTATGCACCTAAGTTAGCTCGGGAGATCGGCCACTTCCTCAGTATGAGTAAACAGGGGTTCCTATTTAAAATATCTTTTCTAAGAGAATATAGTGAATAAGTGTAAAACTATATTTGAATCGAGGCTTACCTTATCCTCTACCATTGCCCCCTTCAGTACCACACTCTACCTCATCGGTACAGATTGTTGAGTGCCTTCTGTCTCTGAGATGCTAGAGAGGCATTATTGGGATTTAATTCTCCTAACATACTCTGCAAGGTGTCATCCCCATTTTCCTGGAGAGGAAACGGACTCAGACAGATTAACTAACCTGTGCAGGATCGCACAGCATGGTGGCAGGTGACAGAGCAGAGAAAATCGCTCAGGTCTGCTGGACCCCCGGGCCCCATTCTCTGTTCACTTAGCAAATGGCATGACCCAGCCAGAGGGCGAAAAGCTGCTCGCAAGCAACAGGTTCACTGTGATGAGTGCAGGAATGAAACAGCAAGGTCAAGGAGCGGCTGGTTCAACAAGGGAGGGACGGACACAGCTGTTCAGCTGTAGGTTCCAAGTGTTCTGATTATGTCAATATTTATGCCGTTAAGTTATTCATTCCTTCATTCATTCATTTGTCAAATATTTTGGGGCCCTTCCATTTGTTATGCATGCTAGCGGCAACTGATACAAACAGGCAAAAGACCAAGTAATTTTTTAAAAGAGCTCCTACTCTCTTTAGGAGAAGGGGATAGAAGGATGAGACAGAAACAAATGGCTGCATCTGAAATAGGCGCCACAACAGAGCTTGTCCCCGGGTGCTATCCACCGGGCATGGACGTAAACCAGAGGCGGCACCCAGGTTGCAGTGAGTCCATGCTATCCAAACTCCTCCCTGGCCCTCTAGGGTCTGTCCTGCCAACCCCTCTCACCTTTGGTGTTTCTGCCACACGCGCTTACTTTTGGTTCCCAAGGTGGCTTAAGTTGTTCCTGCCTCTGCCACGGGGCCTTTGCCCCTGCCGTTTCCACAGCGTGGCACAGCCTTCCTTCAGGAATCCGCGGCCAGACTTGGCTCTGTGTCTCCCCCTCAGGGAGGCCTTTCCTGCTGGCCCTCCCCATTCACTCGTGTCACATCAGCCTGTCCTCCCTCTGCTCCCGGCACTTCTCATGATCTTAAGAGTATGGGCTCTGCAACAGGCTGCCTGGGCTCCAGTCTCAGGTCTGCCATTTTCCTGGCTAGGTAACCTCGGACAAGTTATTTAGCCCCTCTGCACGTCAGTTTTCTCATCTGAAAATGGGGATGCTAACAGTGGTACTCCTACCTCACAGTGTAGTGTTGAGGGGGTTAACCGAGCTTACGTATGCAAAGCATTGACCCTGCCCGGTGTGTGGGAGGTATGCAATAAACACAGAGGGCGTGAGTCTTCTTGTCATTTGTCCGTCCAGTACTTACTGGGTTTGACCATAGAGACCATAGAACGCAGGGCTGGGAGTGCCATAAGCGACCAGGCCAGCACAGCCTCTGTCCACAAGGAGCTTACCGCCCATCTGAACCACTTCTGTTGTTGACACACATATGCATTTGACCTGTAGCCTTTTGCCTGCAGGTTATCTAAACTTTTCCTCTTTGTTCTAGTTTTTTTTTTTTTTTTTTTAATATGTATTCATTTTTAGAGAGAGAGAGAGAGAGCACGCATGAGCAGGGGAGGGGCAGAGAGGGAGGGAGACACAGAATCCAAAGCAGGCTCCAGGTTCCGAGCTGTCAGCACAGAGTCCGACGCGGGGCTGGAAACCCACAAACTTTGAGGTCATGACCCAGGCGCCCCTTTGTTCTGGTTTCTAATCGTCTTCACACCCTGCTTCCCGTCTTGGGATTTGTGGCGCCCAGGAGGGACCCACTGCTCGTGCCTTACCGTGGCTGGAGATAACACATAAATCTATGCCTCTTTACACCCACGTGATTTGTTTGTTGCTTGTAGCTGTGTTGCTTCCTTTAGTGTTAGAATCAATGAGAGGTTTGTCTCGTGAGGAAATGGTAAAAACCCACCAAGGAGATGAAAACAGCAGAATAATAGTTAAAGGCCCACCTCTTGGCTTCTTCATGTTCTGTTGTTTCACAACCACTGGAACTGCCCTTTTCTCCAAGTCTGCCCAACGTCTCCTGTCCTAGATTTCACTTCCTCTCAGAAGTCTTCCCCGATTTTCCAAGACCATGGGCTCAGGAGTAGACCTGGGGTTCACCGGTCTGGTGAGACTTACTATTCCACTGTGTGTAACTGTCTACACTCTTCCCTCCCCTACTAGTCTGCATGTGCCATATGGCCTGGGCCATCTCTTTCGCCATCTCTTCTGGGTCACACCTCGAAGTGGCACAAATCACTTCCTGTCCCCTTGACCGGAACTCAGTTACGCGGCTGTACAGACTGCTAGGGAAGCTGGGGAAAGCCATCTAGCTGTGCGCCCAGGAGGAAAGGGAAACAGGTTTTGGTCAATACATGGCAGTCTCTGTACGTGGGAGCCCACCAGAGCGAGGCAGCCCCTGCGTAAAGTCAGGGTAGCCCTTGTCTACCTGCGGTGGGTCCCGGAAGGGGAAGGAATTGCACTGATCTTCTGTTTTGGCTTTGTAGACAAACACATGTGATCAAAATCTCAATCGTTGCCTTGAGTTCATTGAACAAATTTCCAAAGTGCAAGGACAACTCTTCAGGATCCTCACCACGGCTGCCCAAGAAGGTGAGAATGGCCTGTGCTTCCCCGTCTCCCTTCTTTTGTTTCTCTTCTCTGTACTCTCTCCCTGTGTGGCTAAACTTCTCTCGCTGACCTGATTTGTGGACTCTTTTAGGAGGACACAATGATGGTGTGGAAATAATCAAATCGCGCCTTTTGCCTTGGCTGGAGGCCTCCTTTACTGCTGCTTCCCTGGGAAACACTGTTGACAGCAAGGTCCCCTCTCTACAGGTAGGCACGCTAAAGGATCACCCTTGACTTTCAGCACCCAGATCAGGCTCTGGGAACTCAGACATGTAGAAGATACAGCTTTTACCCAGTGGGGGACTCAGCTCTAGTTAGGGGATTAGGACACAGGTACCAAAGGTGAGCTTCTGTTTATAGTCTTGTGCGGCATAACGGGTTGAGGTGTCTCTTCAAACAGACCTGCATTCAAATCTCAGCGTTGCCTACTTACCAGTGGGGTGACCGCAGACAAATGAATGAGCCTCTGCTTCCTCAGCTGTAAAAAGGGACTGGTGATGTCCTACATGTAGGACATTGCCCACACTAGGCATTAAATAGGAACTTTTGGATGACAAAGTAGTCACACTGACAGTTGGGGTACCATGGGGCCTCAGAAGAGAAAGAGACCACCAGATGGGGAAAGCTCCCCGTTCTGAAAGAGTGAAATAACACTGATGGAAAACTTCCAACATGAAAAGAAAACTTAGTTCTCAGAGGCTGACAAAGGGCATCATAATTGGCGATTGATGCTGGTGATTTCTGTGGGAAAAGTGTCAGCTTTGGAACCGTTGAAGCCCCACCCTGGAAAGAGAATACATAACTCGTTTAAGGCATTGGCATCATTAAATATTAGTCAACTTGATTTTATTTATTTTTTTATTTTTATTTTTTTTTTAATTTTTTAATGTTTATTTATTTTTGAGACAGAGAGAGACAGAGCATGAACGGGGGAGGGTCACAGAGAGGGAGACACAGAATCTGAAACAAGCTCCAGGCTCTGAGCTGTCAGCACAGAGCCCGACACGGGGCTCGAACTCACAGACTGTGAGATCATGACCTGAGCCGAAGTCGGCCGCTTAACCGACTGAGCCACCCAGGCGCCCCGTGATTTTAAATATTTATATGCATTTACATAAGTTCTTTTCTAAAATGAAAGCATTTAGAGCAGGCCTTTCTTGGCAGCCTTAAGAGGCCGTGGTGGAAAGTTTCCTGCCTGGAGGTCACCGGGTAGAATTCTGGTTGCTCTTCTATGGTCGTGGGTGGGTTATTAACCTTCCATGTCTCAGTTTCCTCATTTGCTGAATGGGGACAATGCTTTTGCTGACCCGCTAGGGCCATTTTGAAAATTCCATGTGATAAACATGCAGCAACCACTGACATAGGGTAAGTACTCCATAGACGTCAGTTGTTATTAAGCAAATTTTTCACCCCTGAGGATTTTCCTGTGCCGCTTAGATTTTTACCCCATGGGTGTTATTCTGAGTATAAAGACACGGGATGATATTTCAATGTCTTTTTAAAAAATTGAAGTGTAATAAAAAATGGTGGTATAGTTTACCTGCAATGAAATCCATAGCTTGCTAAGTGCATATATCCATGTAACCCACACCCTATTAATTTATAAAACATTTCCATCTCTCCGGAGCATTCCCTGTGTCACTTCCCAGTCATCTCCCTCCTCCCCCACGGCAACCACCTTTCTGATTTTTATCATTCTAAAATTTTTTTTTAACATTTATTTATTTTTGAGAGACAGAGCACAAGCAGGGGAGGGGCAGAGTGAGAGAGGGAGACACAGAATCCAAAGCAGGCTCCAGGCTCTGAGCTGTCAGCACAGAGCCCGATGTGGGGCTTGGACCCACGAACTGTGAGATCATGACCTGAGCTGAAGCCGGACACCCAACCGACTGAGCCACCCAGGCGCCCTATGATTCTTATCATTCAAATTAATTTTGCCTGCAGTAGAACTGCATATAAATGGACCTATCCACGCGTGTTCTTTGCTGCTTGATTTCTTTGGCTCAGCATAATGTGTTGCAACCCATCATGCTGTTTCCTGTATTCAAGCCTATTTTGATTTGTGTATCATTCCAGGACACGTTTGATAAGGAGAGACGTAAAGATCGAGATCGGGACATGCAGCAATTAAACTCTGAGTTGAATTCAACTCGTAATCAACTCAACCAGGTTCAAGACGAGTAAGAGGAATGCAAGTTATCTTTTTTCCAAGAAGAATTGTTCTTAATTTTTAAGTTTAAAGGGAAAATAATGGCTCTTGTAAAATGTAGACAAATAACTAGTGTGCAAATAACTAGTGTGTGTGTGTGTGTGAGAGAGAGAGAGAGAGAGAGAAGGAGAAAGAGAGAGAGAGAGGAGGGGGCCCTACCTCTCTCTCCACCCTCATCTCCTGCCACGGTCTCCTCCGCTAGTCTGTTGTCTACTCCTCACCCTGAAGCCTTTGCCTGCGCTCCTTCATAAACATGGAAGCCTTCCTTTGGTTCTTTGCATAGCTCGTTCTTTATCTTTCAGGTCTCAGCTGAAAGGAGATTTTTCTCAGAGTCTGTCTGTGACCATGTATATCGAAAGGTCTTCGTTTCCCCCTCTGTAGTTCTCTTTCACAATGATCTGAGACTAGCACTTACCACCATTTGGAACGTTAAAACATTTCTTTGCACGTTTATGATCCACTTGGCTGGAAGGTCCAAAGGGGTGCTGTCTTGTATTTGCTCTTCTGATATTTGCTATCTGCTATTCTTGCTGTATCTCCATCACCCAACATCATGCCTGCCACGTGGTACGTTCTCAATGAATGAATAAATCCCTAATTAAAAAAAAAATATGTTAACTTGCTTAAAGTAATGCTTGGCTCATGAATGTATCTCCCTTTCTTCTCTCTGTATATCATTCAAGCTGCCAAATTACCATGTATACTTGCTTGTATGTACACGTACAGGTGTTCACACCTGTGTGCCGTGTCTTAAGAGAAAAAAAATCACTACTTTATTCCTTTTTCATATTCTCCTTCCTTTCTTGGTATTTTTGCTTCTTTTAATTTTCTGCCATCTTCTTTGGACAAAAATGTTCACTTTTTTCTCCACGTATACTTTTAAAAAACCTGTAACAGGGGCGCCTGGGTGGCGCAGTCGGTTAAGCGTCTGAC